GGGACAGTGGGGTGAGAAGAGGGGATGGGGAAAATTTGGGACATGCAGAGCTGCAGCGGTCAGAGAAAGAGGTGACTTTCCACAGCTCCAGAACTGTGGCTGCCGGGGAGAGACGACCCTCCTTCCTAGCCCCAGCTTGAGGGCTGCCACGGCAGGGGAGAAAGGGAGAGACCCCCTCCTTCCCAGCCCCAGCTCGGGGGCTGCCGTTTTGCGGGGAGAGAGGGCACATCCATCTCATTAGAAAGGTAAGACTACAAATTAAAATATTAAAATATGAGTTGTGTGCTTTTATTTGTATCTCAAAAAAAGTTAATTATTATTAAGTTTTTTTTATATAGTGCTTTTATCCAAAGCACTTTACAATAGCTAATGGTACAAACAACATTTAGAAAGATCATTAAGTGGTCCGCCAAGACCCTCAGCCATTTTCAAGTGGTCCGTGGAAAAAAAAGTTTGAGAACCACTCCTCTAGCTGACCTAGCTGCCACTAGAGAGGGACAGAGTGCCATATTAAGCAGACATGGGTTACATATGCACCTCGTGTCTCAGCCGGGATTGTCCTCAGGGCAGCTAGCCTGTCCTGCTGCTCATGCCACCATGGCTACACTCTAGTGCACTGGCTCAATCAGAGCTAGTGCGGGTATGCCTCCTCGAGCTGGAAGTTATACTGCCATCCTGAAGTGTAGACATAGCTCCTGGAACAAAAGGTAAGGGGGCTTGTCAGTGGAGATCATATTATCTGATATGATATTTTTCAGTCACACAAAGGTTAGTGATTTGATTTAATCTCTGACTTCTGTTGAAAGGCAAAGAGTTTGAACATTGCTTGACTATTCTTTGATTGATAATGAATGAATGTTTTACACAACCTTAAACAGGTCTTTAGTTTAAGTCACTAATATGTTAAAAACAAGGTTTTAATATGTGTGGGCCTTCAGCATTTTCAGATGAATTAGTCCAATTTTGTGGCCAATCTGTGAGTCCTAATACTTTAACAAAAACCAAAACATAATTTGACTTCGTGATTTCAACAGCAAAATAGATATTTAAAAAAAATTAAAAGAAAAATAGGAAAAAAAATCTCAAACCCAAAATAGCATCAGAAATATACAGTATGTCCTTTTCTTTATAGTACTTGGGCCCGATTCTCCTCTCATACAAATGTACATGAAGAGTGACTCAGCAGAATTCAGTGGAGTAGCCAGGAAAAAACAAGTGTGAGTGAGAAAAGGCTCGCTGTATTAATTTAAAATATAGATTCAGCATAACATAGATCAGAGTGGGTCTTCTTGCTCCTCTTTTTCCACACTGAAAGCAGTTAGAGTTATTCATTGTTTGTAACATAGTTAAGGGAGTTTCTTGCACTTTTGTCTTCCACAAATTTCCAGATGCTACCATCTCCTTTATGCTTTCTTTTTTTTTTTTTTCTTTCCTTTCTCGGTAGTGCTAGTCAAAATATTTTCATTCAAAACTTTTTTTCAATGAAAAATAGCAGCATTTTTTTAACAAAAAATGTCATGAAATTTTTTTTAAATATTTCTGATTTTTTCCCAAACAAAATTAAAATAAAATATTGTTGTCTTCCTTCGAAATTCACAACAGATTCAGAAAATGATATAGTGATTTTCTTTGCAAAACATACCACTTCCCAAACTAGCTTTTTTTGTTCTTGGGGTTCAGTCACTGGTGCAGCACTCTCCAAGGATCAGAAACTTATTAGAGCTATGCCATTCCACAAGAACAGTATGCTAGGGCCCACCAAGTGTCATGAGAGCCATGCATACTGACTGTGTTCTCTAAAGACTGTTTCTGGCAAGGTACAGAGTCACTGCTCTGAAATGCAAGTCTTTCAGGGTCAGATTCTGCTCTCAGTTACATCAGTATGAATCTGGAGTAACTCCAGGGCCACTGTTACAAACAGAATCTGACTCTCATTTGGTAAGGGCTGTTACTCCCATCTGTGTCACCAAAACAGGACTTGCTATGCTTTCCAAAGCTCTATTTATGTTGTTTTAAAAAGCATTACGAAACGTTTTTCGTATCTAGAGGTTCTATCAGTGGCGTCCATTATCCCTATATTTATTGGCATTTGCAAGCCTATGATTTAGTGCTAACATCTGAATTTCTGATCTTACACCATGCTCTTATCATTGCCTTTTTGTAGCTTGTGCGGTTTGACTATCTAAAAAGGGTGATAATCAAGGCTGTTGGTTATGTCACTCCAGGCTGGCACAAGCTTGGGAGAAAGAACTTCTGATTTGATGTGTGCCACTGTCAAGGATGTCAGAGTTCAGATTATGACTTTGAAACAGAAAACGGCCCCTGCCTGTCCTGTTGCATTGCTCATGTAGCACCACTTAAATGACATAGTGTTAAGACCTATGGAGACTAAGGGTATGTCTATATTAGCCGCCGGATCGGCGGGCAGCGATCAATCCAGTGGGAATCAATTTATCACATCTAGTCTAGACGCAATAGATCGACCCCCAAGCACTCTCCCATCGACTCCTGTACTCCACCGCCGCAAGAGGCGCAGGCAGAGTCGACGGGGAGAGCAGGAGTCGACTCACCGTGGTGAAGACACCACGGTAAGTCGATCTAAGTACGTCTACTTCAGCTACGTTATTCAGAGACATTTTGTTACAAACAATCAGTACATCATTTCCTTGTTTGATTTCTAAAGAAAAGAAAAGGAAACACATTCCAAAAACATTATTTGGAATGTGGACTGAAAGGCAAATTTATGAGTACTTTCTGTTTCTAGCAACAGGGGCCAGTGGTATAACTCCAGTGAAATCAATAGAGTTACTCCCAGGATAAATTTGGCCCGATATTGGTATGACTCTACTGAAATCAATGGAGTTGTACCAGGAATAAATTTGGTCCAGTGTTTTCATCCTGTACAGAACAAGGACATGTACAGCCTAATATCCCCAGCTTACCCCCACCATTCATTATTTATATTACAGTAGGCCCAGATCCTCAGAAGTATTTAGGTGCCTAACCAATAGGAAGGAGAGCAATCTTCCACTCAGGAGAAAACTTTTTCCCTGCTGCCACTAGCCCTGCTGCTGCTTATCTTTCATTTCTCCCCTCTCCTCTCTCACCAGAAGACAGGTTTATAAAGATCACTGGCCTCAGGTGTCTCCAGTTAACCTGAGGTAACCCTCTGATATATCTGTCATCCACCACTCTCTTATATCTGTCAGAACTGACTTTATCACAATAGTTACAAAAAAGGAGAGAGAGAGAACTTAGGTTTCCAGACTATCTAGTTGAGAACTAGTTCACAGGATTGGTTGATTGCACTGTAATTTCAAACACTATTAAGCTATGAATATCAGAATGGCACATCAGGTCTGATAAGCTTAAAATATTGGATTAAATGATCACTTGATATCCCAAAATTTTACTTAAAACGGGATGGGGAAGAAATTTTGATCCTGTTTCCTGGTGAAAATAGACTTCAAACTGAAAGGTAAGGGGGCTTGTCAGTGGAGATAGGTTAATATTTCCATCACAACAGACATTTGTCAAACAATGTATTGTAAATTAAGGCTCATTTTCAAAGTCGTTGTCACCACAACTACAATCTTCTAATACTTTGTCAGACCCTACCTTGAGAATATTTTAAATTAAGTGTATTGGATTCATTTTATCTACAGAAGGAAATGTCTTCATGCTTTTCTGTCTCCAAAGCCCTCTTCTAGCCCCTGGAACCGCCACTTACTGCAACCACCTCTCTGAATGAGGTGCAGGGACTGGTGTGGAGGGATATGATGGGGTGAGCAAGGAGTCTGAGAATGCTGGAGAAGGGAAGAAAGAGAAAAAGAGCATAGTGAGGAGAAGGAGGAGAGAGGGAGCATGGGGGACAGCAGAGTAGTGGGCCAGGGAGAAGGAAACCATGGGGACAGCAGCTTGAAGGGGCTTTCCAACGTATCTGCATAACTTAAGAGATTTAAGGCAGAGAACTTAACCCTATTTCTGTATTTTTGATTTCCTCACTCCTTAATGCTTACTTTTTTTGCTACTGCAACTACTATAATCTTAGGTTTCAGAGTAGCAGCTGTGTTAGTCTGTATTCGCAAAAAGAACAGGAGTACTTGTGACACTTTAGAGTCTAACAAATTTATTTGAGCATAAGCTTTCGTGAGTAGCTCACAAAAGCTTATGCTCAAATAAATTTGTTAGTCTCTAAGGTGCCACAAGTACTCCTTTTTTTTTTTTTTTTTTTTACTATAATCTTGTGAGGACTGTCACCTTGAGGTGACTGCTGTATATTCTCAAGCATAAATTTCACCTAAACAAAAGGTTTTTTTATTTGGGAATATAATGTATCTCACTTGCCTGCTTAGACTGTAAACTCTTCAGAGCAGCTGGAAGAATTCAACCCTGTATATGCTTGAATGGCTCTATGAGCAATACAAATGAGTTATCAACGAGTTTACTGTGCAGCAGGAGAGTGAGAGAGCTGGGAACCAATACATACTGGTATATATTTGTATAGAGCCTACTGCACAATGAGGCTTAAATCATGGCTCTGGGCATTACACTGATGTAAATATTTAATAATAACAATAAAAAGAGACATTTCATTTGCATCCCTTTTCCCATCTGGGTGGATTGAGTCAGCATCAAGTATATGTGAGGCTACATTTACCCTTCTCTAAGCAGTATGCCTTCACTTGCTGTAAAGGACCTGTAATTTTTAAAATTTTCCAGTACATTTTCATCTTTGAATGCAATATTTTTCAAAACTGCTCTGCTCTAATGAGCACCAACTGTAGACTGGAATTAAAGGTGATACACATGTAAAGTTGCTGTTTTGTTTGGTATTCAAAATATATAAATGATAATTTTGATGCTATTCGATCTGTTTTTGAAAGGGAGGTGTCATAATTATGGTAAGGCAGGAGCATGGAGATGGCTGCATGACTGTGCAGATGGTGTAGATGGGAGGGCTTTGGCTTCCTCAACTATGGAATGCTTTTTCCATGAAGGAGGACTGCTCGGAAGAGATGAGTTCCACCTGACCAAGAAGGGGAAGAGCATCTTCATTCATTGACTCATTAACCTGGTGAGGAGGACTTTAAACTAGGTTCAAAAGAAGCAGCTGAAAGCCCACAGGTAAGCATTAAAAAAGCAACCTTTACAGAGGGCTAGATGTTGGGGGGACGTGGAAAATTACAGCAGGGTCATATGAGTAACAAGAGGGAAATCAGTGGGACAATCTGCCCAACATCGTATGTCACACACAAATGCAAGGCGTATGGGGAATAAACAAGAAGAATTGGAAGTATTAGTTCATAAGCTAAACCATTATTTAATTGGTGTCACAGAGATATGGTGGCATAAGTCTCATGACTGTAATATTGGTATAGGGGAGTGTAGATTGTTGAGGAACAACAAGCAGGATAGAAAGGGAGGAAGTGTTGCGTTGTACTGCAAGAATATATACACTTGTTTTGAGGTCCCGAAGGAGGTGAGAGGCAGACCAGTTCAGTCTCTGGGTAAAAATAAAAGTGGAAAAATACAGGTGACATCAGGGTAGGTGTCAGGAAGAGGCAGTGGATGAGAACAAATAACAGAAATATTCAAAACATAAGTCTCATATTAAAGGGCGACTTTCACTACCCAAACGTCTTTTGGAAAAGTAATACAGCAAAAAAAAAATTTTCCAATAAGTTCTTGAAATCTACTGGGGGCAAATTTTTGTTTCAGAAAGCAGATGATGTAACCATGGGGACAGCCATTTTAAACTTGATTCTGACCGACAGGAAGAGATTGGTTGCAAATTTGAAGGTGGAAGGCAATTTGTGTGAAAATGATCATGACATGATAGATTTAATTATTCTAAGAAAAAGGAGTGAAAGTAGTAGAATAAAGACAATGGACTTCAAAAAAGCAGACTTTAACAAACTTGGAGTTCTGATAGGGAAAAAGGAGTTCAGGAGCTGGAAGTTACTCAGGAAGACAGTATTAAAGACTAAACTATCCCAATGTGAAGGAAAGATAAGAAGAATAGCAAGAGGCCAATAAGGCTTCATTAGGAGCTCTTTAGTGACCTGACAATGAAAAAACAAATGTGGATGAATTTCTAAGGAAGAGTAGAAAAGAATAGCACAAGTATGCAGGGACAAAAATCAGAAAGGCTAAGGTACAAAATACCTTACACCGAGTAAGGGACATAAAAGAACAGGTTGGATAAACACCTGTCAGGGATGGTCTAGGTTTATTTGGTCCTAATGAGAAGAGGTTCTTTAAATACCTTAGGATCAAGAAAAAGATGAGGGAAAGTGTAGGTCCACTACTTAGTGAGGAAGGAGACTAATAACGGACAACATCAAGAAGGCTGAGGTGTTTAATGCCTATTTAGCAGTCACTAAAATAGTTTAATGGTGACAAGATACTCAACACAATTAATATTAATAACAAAGGGAAAGGAACACAAGCCAAAATAGGGAAAGAACAAGTTCTAGAATATTTAGATATATTAGATGTATTCAAATCAGCAGGGCCTGATACAATTCATCCTAGGGTATTTAAGGAACTAGCTGGAGCAAATCGTGGAACTTTTAGCAGTTATCCTGAACAATTCATGGAAAATGGGTGAGGTCCCAGACGACTGGAGAAGGTCAAACCTAGTACCTATCTTTAAAAAGGAGAACAAAGAGGAACTCAGGAATTATAGACCAGTCATCCTACCTTTGATACCTGGAAAGATATAGGAACAAATGATTAAACAATCAATTTATAAACACCTAAAGACTAATAGAGTCATAAGGAATAATCAGCATGGACTTGTCAAGAACAAATCATGCCAAACCACCCCAGTTTCTTTCTTGGACAGGATAACTGGCTTAGTGGATGGGGGAAAGAAATAGACATGATCTATCTTGATTTTAATAAGGCTTTTGACAGTCCCACTTGACATTCTCATAAGCAAACTAGGGAAATGTGATCTAGATAAAATTAATATAAGATGGATGCACAACTGTTTAAAAAACTGAAGTGAAAGAAGAGCTATCAACAGTTTGCTGTCAAACTGGAAGGATGTATCTAGTGGGGTCCCGCACAGGTCTACCCTGGGTCTAGTACTATACAATATTTTTATTAGTGCCTTGGATAATAGAGTGGAGAATATGGTTATAAAATGTACAATGATACTAAAATGGGAGGGGTGGCAAGCACTTTGGAGGACAGGATTAGAATTCAAAATAACTTTGACAAATTACAAAAATTGTCTGAAATCAATACGATGAAATTCAGTAATGACAATTGCAAAGTAGTACACTTCGGAAGGGAAAATCAACTGCACAGCTACAAAATAGGGAATAACTAGCTAGGTGGTAGTACTGCTGAAAAAGATCTGGGGGTTATAGTGGATCACAAATTGCTTATGAGTCAACAATGTGAGGCAGTTGTGGAAAAGGCTAATATAATTCTGGGGTGTATTAACAGGAGTGTTATATGTAAGACATGAGGGATAACTGTTGCCCTGTACTCAGCATAGGTGAGGCTTCAGCTGGAGTACTGTTTCCAATTCTGGGTGCCACACTTCAGGAAAGATGTGGTTACACTAGCGAGAGTCTGGAGGAAACCAACGATTATAAAAGGTTTATGTGACCTGACCTCTGATAACAGTCTTCAGATATCGTAAAGGCTGTTATAAAGAGGACTGTGATCAATTGTTCTTCAGGTCCATTCTGCAGCAAGAAAGATTTAGGTTAGGAAAAACCTTTTCACTATAAGGATAGTTACATTCTGGAATAGGCTCCCAAGGGTGGTTGTGGAATCCCCATCACTGGAGGTCTTTAAGAACAGGTTGGGCAAACACCTGTCAGGTCTAGGTTTATTTGGTCTTGCCGCAACACAGGGGTCTGGGTGCCATGATCTCTCAAATCCAAATTCCAAATCTAAATTTCTATGATTCAATGTTGATTACATAACAAAGAGAGGTTTCAGAGGAACAGCCGTGTTAGTCTGTATTCGCAAAAAGAAAAGGAGTACTTGTGGCACCTTAGAGACTAACCAATTTATTTGAGCATGAGCTTTCGTGAGCTACTTCAAAGTGAGCTGTAGCTCACGAAAGCTCATGCTCAAATAAATTGGTTAGTCTCTAAGGTGCCACAAGTACTCCTTTTCTTATAACAAAGAGAAGTATTTTTCACGGATGACATAGCATATGTATGGTAGTGTTTTATTTTTTACTAAAAATAATCAATGGTGAATAATGCACATTAATTTGTAGGATATATTTACACTCCCTCTTCCATCCCTCTACACACACACACAAGTTAATAAGAGTTCTGCCTGACTGAGAACTGAATTTTTCCCAAAGTGAATAAATAGTTTTTAAAAAAGCAAGGATAAGTCATCACACCTATACATTGTTCACGTATTTGAAAGAAGTTTTACTTATTTATTATAGTACTTCATAAAATACTAGTACATTTCTCTAGTTTATTTTGTAAAAGTAAAGAAGTCTTAGTAATATTTCATATGGGAAACCACTACAGCACTCTGTTGTTAAACAGTAACAGACAAGTGGGGAGAAACTGCTGGGTTTTGTGTGAACTATGATGCAAGTAGATTAGTGAAGTGCAAATTAGCAAGGTATTTTCCGCATATGCATTTTACTCCTGCATGTCTAAGTGCTTGAGAGTCATATGACCTAAAATAATGTTACACTGTTGCCCTCCTAGCTAGTCAAGAATTTCCACGAAACTATTGGCCAACTAATTGATCGTTGAGACAAGGTCACCTTACCTTCTTATCTAAAATAGGAAAGTGTGAGCATGAGGTAAATGGATTGCACAGTGCACTAGAAAATAGACTGCAGGTGATGGAAAAGGCATTTTCTGTCTTTAATATCTATGAGTCAAATCCAGAACTGCTGTGTGAGGTGGTGTCTGTTAGATCTCTTCCCTCTTACACTCAGTTGGACTCCAATACATCTACTTCAAGTCTGATCATGTATAAGTGAGTTTAAATTGATGCTGTTTATAAGTCAAGATTGGGGAGTTTATATGTCAAGATTCTTCCAGCTCCTTGCAATGTAAACTACATCTCCTTGGGCCCAGATTCTTAAAGGTAAATCAAGGGGTGCAAGGCACCATAATAGCTTTGAAGATCTGGACCTTGGTTCCTGTCTCAGTTAATAAAATACAGAGGATATTCAGAGTTTATCTATGTCAATGCAGTTTAATCAGTGGAAAGCTCTAATGTAGTGGTTCCCAAACTTGTTACTAACATGATTACCAGCTGCATTTTGTCTTTTTTTGTAACCCACCATTATGTATATTCACCCTTCATCCTGGCACTGCACCCTAATCCTGGCCTGTTACAGAGGGGAGGCTCAAGGATTAGGGGAGAGAATAAGCCCACCCTGCCCTCACCCTGCAGCAACTCCTGTCCAACGGGTCTAGGCCTGGCTTCCTGCTCCAGGTGTTTCAATCTGCTGCATGGGGTTACAGAACCACTCAGGTTTGGCTTGGCCACCCCTCCATCATGATAGAAGATCAGCTGGGCCAAATTTGAGTGATGGTTGTGTGACCTGGCACAGAGGATCACAGTGACACTCAGGTTTGGCCCATATGACCCTCCATCATGGAGGGACAGTTGGGCCAAATCTGAATGGCTCTGTGATTCTGTCTGTTAGGGTTTCAATGTCCAGAGTGGGAGCTGGGCCCAGCCCCCTGGGACAGAGCTGCTGCTGAGGGGTGTGTGCCTCCCCTCTGCACCAGGCTGGGAGAAGTGTATGTTTGCCTAGTCTAAGGCTCAGTAATGGGTTAATTTGGACCTAAGTGTGGTGATCAATTTAGAATCTTCCCGCAACCCACCATTTGGGACCCACTGCTCTAGCTTATATGCACTGTCCTGGCACAAGGCAGGGCTTACACTGCCATACAGTGACAGCTTTTAAAGCTAAAAGGGGCCATTGCGATCATCTAATTCGATCTCCTGCATAACACAGGGCATAGGACTTTCCTGAATTAATTCCTGTTTCAAGTCCAGTATTATGATTGAAACAGAGCTTTTAGACAAAACATCTAATCTTGATTTAAAATATTGCAGTGATAAAATTTGTAATTACACCAGTACAAATTTCCATAATGTCAGCAGGG